CAGAAGTCCAATTGGATTCAAAAGACTGAATTCCCGTCCAAAGAGGAATTGGGATTGATCAGAAACCTCCTGATCAATCCCTATAAAAGGGACCCCTGGAACAGTCAAACAACAACAGGAAACAGAAGCAAAAAGCTACTGATTGCAGAGAATAGGGGTGTCTTAGAGAGCTAAGGAAAAGTTTAGGAGTGTTCTGGTAGTGAGAAAAATTTTTTAGAAAAATTTGGCGAAAAATTTTCTGGAAATTTCTGGGAAATTTCCAGATTCCGGCGGAAATCCGGCGACTTTTGAATTTCCGGCGACAATTCCGGCGAACTTTGAAGTTTCCGGCGACAGACCCAGTTTCCGGCGGAGAATCCCAGAAACCGGCGACCATTCCGGCCAACTTCCGGCCCAATTTCCGGCGAAATTCCCAGATTCCGGCGAAATTTCCAGAATCCGGCACCGGCGTTCTTCAAATTCTAGAGAGAAGGCAGAGAAGAAGGGAAGAAGAGAGAGAGAGGGGAGGAACGGTCTGCTGAAAAACGGAGGAAGGTGCCTTTTATACCCTCCCAAAACGACGTCGTTTTGGCTTTAAGTTAATAAGAGGATCCGCGCGTTTTGCCGAACCCGACCCGACCCGAAGCGTCGACCCGCTTTCTGACCCGCGCGTTTCAGCCCCTCCGAGCCGAGCCGAGCCGAGCCAAGCCGAGCCGCGATCCGAGCCGCTCCAGGTTTTTTTTTTTTTTTTTTTTGAATTTTTTTTATTTGACTTTGATTTTGATCTTGATTTTTTTTTCTTTTTTCTTTAATTAATCCGACGACGGAGCCTCTACAAGTAAAAACAGTAGTTTTTCTTGCATACTCCTGAGGTGAGGGAATTTTCTCAATTTTCTGCTAAAAGTATTAGAGTCAATTGAGAATAATTTCCGATAATTAATTACTTGGCTGATTTTGATTTTTTTTTCTTTAATTAATCCGACGACGGAGCCTCTGCAAGTGAAACAGTAGTTTTTCTTGCATACTCCTGAGGTGAGGGAATTTTCTCAATTTTCTGCTAAAAGTATTAGAGTCAATTGAGAATAATTTCCGATAATTAATTAATTGGTTGATTTTGATTTTTTCTTTAATTAATCCGACGACGGAGCCTCTGCAAGTGAAACAGTAGTTTTTCTTGCATACTCCTGAGGTGAGGGAATTTTCTCAATTTTCTGCTAAAAGTATTAGAGTCAATTGAGAATAATTTTCGATAATTAATTAATTGGATGATTTTGATTTTTCTTTAATAAATCCGACGACGGAGCCTCTGCAAGTGAAACAGTAGTTTTTCTTGCATACTCTTGAGGTGAGGGAATTTTCTCAATTTTCTGCTAAAAGTATTAGAGTCAATTGAGAATAATTTTCAACAACTAATTACTTGGTAAAATTTTAAGGCTTTTGGATAACACAAATTTAAGCTGGTACCATCTTTTGATGGGCGTTGTGAGGGTGCTATAACCTTCCTCACACGTAACCGAACTCCCGAACCCTGTTCTGGTTAGCAGACCTGAACCTATTCTTTTAGGGACCCTTAAGCTTAGGTGTTCCCTGAAAGGACAGATTCCTTAGGTGGCCAATCGCACCTAGATAAAAAAGATTGGTGGCGACTCCCTAAAGTCAATGTCTAGCGATAGATCCCCGGATCTAGACGTTACGACAGCTTGGCGACTCCGCTGGGGACCTTGAGAGTCAGGCCAGCAAATAATTTGTGTTATCCAAAAGCCTAATAAAATTGAACCTTTTTGTATATATGTATTATTATTCATTCATGTCTGTTAATTATGTCATTCATGTGCATGTGCATAACATGAGCTCTACACCCGAGCTCCGTCCCTCTAGGAGGGAGTAAAGTACCTATTGCTTTCGTGAGGTCTAATGCCTCCGCAGTGGCTAGCGAAATACTCCCACTCAAATTGAACCTTTTCCGCTTGTAGCCTGTAATGGGTGAGGATTAGGGTGCCTTACTAGTCTGTGATGGACAAGGATGTAAGGAACAATTTGAGGACCTTTAGACTTTGACCCTAAAACCGCATATAGTGAACTTTAAGAGTGCCTAACCCATAGATAGAGCCATCACCCTTCCCTGTTAGAATTGACCAAAAGCATAGGATTCATCCTTTTTACTTTGTGTGATGTTTAAATTTATTTAGTTATTTATTCTTTTTCTGGGTATACTAACCTTTTTTTGTTTTCTTTTGCATTGGTTCATGTGCATATCATAAAGTTGCATAAAGAACATTTGCCTGAAAAACGATCTTCAACAAATTTTTTTCATGGACACCAATGAACGCCTAGTTTGTTCTTCATCAGTATTAGCACCCTGTGGGACACCTAATGAAGTAAGGGCCCTGTCAGAAAAGACCCAACTGAAGATGGGAGATTGCTTGCCAATTGGGTATGAGTCTACTCTGTCTCAAGAAACATCTATCCTCCTCAAACAGAATAATTTAGAAGATTTGGTTGACATCTGGAAGAAGATGAGTCCGTCAAGACAAGAGCAGTTTTGTCAGAAACATGGGCATATAGCACACCTTCTAGCAGTGGCTGTTGATGATCAACTAATTAGAGCTGCAACACAATTCTGGGATCCTACATACAGGTGTTTCATCTTTAATGAAGTTGATATGACTCCCACCATAGAAGAATATTCGGTCTTGTTGGGTTTGTATCTCAAGACTCCTGACAAGATATATGTCAAAAAGCATAAGTCAGGATTTCGTAAAAGTCTGGCTCAACTCATGGGGATAAACAAGGAAGTTGTGGATTCTCATACAAAGAAGAAACAGGAACAGGTCTGCCTACCTTGGAAGTTCTTTCATGAGTTTCTGATGCAACATGCCAATGAAGAACGGGGGTTGGACATATTTGCCTTGGCTATATACGGACTGGTAATCTTTCCAAAGGTTTTGGGACATATTGAGATAGAGGTAGTTGATTTCTTCGAGAGTGTGATCAATGGCTGTAATCCCTCAACGGTGATATTAGCAGAGACTATCAGATCCTTGAGTTATTGTCGTCGGAATGGAGGGCGCTTCATAGGATGCATACAGTTATTGTATGTGTGGATGAAAAGCCATTTCGAACATGGAAATGGTGCTTTCTCGAAGATTTATATCCGTAATCGCTTTCCGATCAAGGAATTCTGCGAAAGTGGTTGGTCAAAGCGGAGGTCTAAACAAGAATGGATAACTTTCTTACAAAAATTAGAAAGTGCCAGGGTGAGATGGTTAGCCCCATGGATGAATCGTGAGCCTATGTTATACCAATGTGGGGATAGTACAGAGGTTCCACTTCTGGGTTTATGGGGAGTGACGAATTATGCACCGCTCCTAGTAAGGAGGCAATTGGGGGGAGAACAGTTCATTCCTGTGACTTATGGGCTTCATCAGTTAGATTTCTCTTACAGTGAGCCTAAAGCATTTCAGAGGATGAATGAGATGATCAAAGCATGGAAAAATCCCCAAAGAGTGAGTCCTGGACCATTCACTGAAAAAGTCACCCCAGGTTACTTGGTTTGGAGAGCAAAGAGAAGACAAGAAATGGTATTCACTTATGAAATCTCTCAACCACCAACAGAAGAAAGACTTGAAGAGACACCATCAGAGTTAGAACTGACAACAAAAGAATTTGAGTCTGAAAAGAGCCAGTTAAAGCAAGAGATTCAGAAACTTCAAGAAGAAAAAGCCCAGTGGAAAGGTAGAGCCGAAAGATATGAAGTTGAAGTTCACAAGATTGCTAGAGAACGTGATACAGCTACTGAAGATCTAGCAAAGTTACACCAGGAGCATAAGAGGCTATGTGTGAGGGAAAGAGCCAAAGGGATAACCATTACCGAGCTGACTGAGGAAAATACAAGATTGAAGCAAGAGTATACCGAATTGGAAGAAGAAAGTACCGAAGCACAGGCAGAACTTAACATGCTGAACAGTTATTTGAGCGGGCTAAGTCAAAGGTTGGAAGAACAAGGAGATCGCATCGCTGCACTGGTCAGAGAACATAGAGAATTATCATACCAAGTCTGGTGTGGTAAAAGAGAGAACCTAGGAAGGCAAAAATACATTGAGCACTTAACAACCCAGATCCATAAAGGGGTATGTAAGGCAAAAGAGATGGTGGAAGAGGCAGAAGCATTAAGACAAGTGGTGGCCCCAGTAGGAGAACATGGACAGCGTCTGTTGAACTTCATAGAAGAAGCCAAAGCCCAGTATGAACAGATCAAACAATTTTATGGCTATAATTCTAGAGGGATAAACTCAATGTAGATCAAAGTTTTTTGGAATAAATGAAATTTTTTTAGTTGAATACCGTTTTAAGGCAAATGTTCTCTGCATACATGCATTTTTCATTCATTGCATTCTCATTCATTACACTTTAACCATGTGATAATCATGCAAAGTTACTAATTCTGAGGTATGGTACTCAAGGTTCCAAGGATAGCTCCATCTAGCGAAAACCCTGCCCATCGTTTCAACACAAGATCCAGAGCAAGGCAAATGGAGCAGGAAAATTCTCATAGATTCGAAAAGCTAGAAAAAGCTCAGGAGAAGATTGAAAGTGAGCTAAGCAAGATTCTGGAGGCTCTAAATAACATGAACAAAGGAAAAGGAGTTGAAGGAAGTACAAGCCAGCAAGAAGTGGCTGACCCTTTGTACCCTCCAGGTTTTGGCCCGCCTCAAGCTCCGTCTGCCCAAGAGGTCCCACCACAACATTTCGCATATCCAACATATCCTGGAATGCCATCAACTTTCAACCCAGGGCAGTATAACAGTTATATAAATCCTGTCTTCACTGAAAAGGCAGTAGAACCAATTCCTGATCTAGATGATCTAAAAGAGAAGGAAAAGGAAAAGATGAAGGTAGAAGCTGAGGAAAGTTCCAAGATTAGCATGCTAGAGCAAAGGCTAAGGGCTGTGGAAGGATTTAGCTTTTATGGGTCAGTTGATGCTGCTGGGCTCTGCCTAGTTCCCGATGTGGTTATCCCCCATAAGTTCAAAGTACCGAAATTTGAAAAATATGACGGTACAAAGTGTCCCAAAACCCACATCACCATGTACTGTAGGAAAATGGCAGCTCATGCGCATGATGAAAAGCTATTGATGCATGTTTTTCAAGACAGTCTTACTGGCTCTGCGGCCAGATGGTATGTTCAGCTGGACAGAACTCGTATTCGCTCTTGGAGCGATATGGCACATGACTTTATCGGTCAATATCGACATATCATCGATCTGGCCCCTGATCGTTTGTCTTTGCAGAATCTGGAGAAAAAGTCAAATGAATCTTTTAAAGAGTATGCTCAGAGATGGAGGGATGTTGCTTCCCAGGTACAACCTCCTCTAACAGAGAAAGAAACTACAGTGCTATTTGTTAGCACTTTAAAACCTCCCTATTATGAAAAGATGATAGGGAATGCAACAAAAAATTTCGCTGATATGGTAATCTCGGGAGAGATCATTGAGAGTGCCATCAAAAATGGCAAGCTAGAAGGAATGAAGCATCTAGCAAAAGAGTCCCGAAGAAAAAAGAAACTGAAGCTCAGGCTGTGAGCTTTGATAGACAGCAGCTTAGAGGTTATTCACCCTACCCACCACCAGAATATCTGCCATATCACCCTGCTGTAAATAACACTTCTTTTCACCCATACCAACCACCACACCCCCAAACCTATCAAACCTCTCATAGACCCCAAAACACCATGTACAGTTCTAACATTCAACCCACCCCAAAACCACAAATTCGCCCAACTAACCCTGCTGGTGGCTCGCGGGAGCAACGAACCACTCGCGAAAGACCTATTTTTGACCCTATTCCCATGACCTATACGGAATTATACAAGGAGCTCTACAACAATCATTTGATTGCTCCAAGTAAATTGGAACCCCTCAAGCCACCTTACCCTAAGTGGTATGATCCCACTGCCCACTGTGACTACCATTATGGGATTGCTGGTCACTCCACCGAAAATTGCACTACCCTGAAATATAAAGTGCAACGATTGATTAAGGATGGGATGATTTGCTTTGATACTGGAGGGATGACTGCACCAAATGTTAGTGGCAATCCTTTGCCAAATCATAATGTGAATGCTATAGGTGAAGAGCATGAGCGCCATGTGAAGAAAGAAGTGGTAGATATTAAGACACCTCTCGATCAGTTGTTTGATGTCTTACGAAAGGCAGACATGATGCAACTGGTAAGTCCACACAGCTATCATGGAGCATATATAGCTGGTACTAGTTGTAAGTATCATAGTGGGGCAAGAGGCCACTCCATTGAGACCTGTAAACAATTTCACCGAGAGGTGCAAAAACTCCTGAATTCACATCAGATAGAGGTCTACGAAGAAAAAGAAAGCTTGAAGAATGCTGAGGTGTGCATGAATGATAGGCCTGAAAAGCTGTTTCCCAAACCAGTGACAATTCGGTGTGGAAACAAACCAAAATCAGTCATAGACAAGCTCCTCCCTAGGCCGGTAACTTTTAAAGTCCCAACTCCTTTCCCATACAAAGATGATAAAGCTGTACCCTGGAGATATGGATGTGACGCTGTAGTGCAGGGGCAAAAAGAAGAGGTCTCCAAAGCCGATGCTTCTAACATTACTGGTGTAGGAGGCATTACTCGAAGTGGGAGATGTTACACCCCAGAAATGCTAGAGAAGGCTAGAAGAGAGAAGGCTAAAGAAGGAGAAAGACGAAATAATCCAGAGATAGAGCCTGAAGAAGATCAGCCAAAGCCAGTATCAGAAAGGGAGGTTTGTGAATTCCTGAAGCTGGTAAAACATAGTGAATATTCAGTTGTGGAACAGTTGAATAAAATGCCAGCTCGAATCTCATTGTTATCACTGTTGCTGAATTCAGAGCCACATCGAAATGCCTTGCTGAAAGTGTTGAATCAGGCATACGTGGCACATAACGTGTCTGTCGAATATGTGAATCACTTGGCTGGAAACTTAGTCATGCCAAATCACATTTCATTCAGTGATGATGAGATTTCTTTGGAGGGAAAGAGAAATGCTAAGGCCTTGCATATCACAGTAAAGTGCCAGAGCCATATCATAGCTAAAGTCCTTATCGATAATGATTCTGCCATCAATGTCATGCCTATGTCAACTTTGGCAAGGCTACCCATCGATTATTCTCATATGCGAGATAGTCAGATGATTGTGAGAGCCTTTGATGGAACCAGAAAAGAAGTCCTGGGGGATATTGAGATGCCCTTACAAATTGGGCCGTGCACCTTCAATATAACATTTCAAGTGATGGATATCTCTCCATCCTACAGCTGTCTGTTAGGAAGGCCATGGATTCACATGGCAGGAGCTGTACCCTCTACTTTGCATCAAAAGATCAAATTCAATGTGAAAGGTCAATTAGTAGTGGTAGTTGGGGAGGAAGACATGCTAGTGACCCAACCATTGAACACTCCATATGTAGAGGCTGCCGAAGAAGCATTGGAGTGCTCCTATCGATCTTTTGAATTGGTCAATACTGTAGGTGAAGGATTTCAAAGTCAGCCTTTTTCAAAGATAGTGGTGAGCCAAGTCATCAACAAAGGCTGGTGTCCAGGACTTGGGCTAGGCAAAAATTTGCAGGGAATTAAAGAACCTCCGACAATAGCGGACAATAGCGACAGGGCAGGCTTAGGATACGAGATGGCCAGAGTGGGAAGTCAAAAGAAGGCCATCAAGAAAGACAGCAAGACTGATGTTTATCCCACAATTGTACGAAACATTCAGACCTGGAGGATTTATGAACCCAGATGCAAAGAAAAGTGTGGAAGAGGACTTTGCCCAGTTAGCCATTAATGCTGTTGAAGATGAAGTGGGGCTCAACAAAGAAGAATGGGTTCGCCTTTGTCCACAAGACTATGAGCTGAACAATTGGAGTGCCATTGAAATGCCTCTGACTTTTGATTTTGATTCAATGTAATTGTAACATCTCAATAGCTTTTGCCCAAGGCTATGGGGTGATCCTTTTTGTTTGGGCCATTCATCATTTATTATTTTTAATAAAAAATAGGGAGGATGCATTTACATTTATTTCTTCTCATGCCTTCATTATTTTCACCTTTCAAACACATCTTGCCAACATATCCCATTTCATTCAATTTCAGGTCTTTAAATGAACAAGAAGATAATCATGATAACCATCAAGAGGTTAACTTTGAGAATTCAATTAATACTGATGAACTTGACAATGAAGAGAATTCTGAAGAATATGTTATGTCTCCGGACCTAATGAGATGATTGAACAAGAGAATAAGCCAATGAGCCTTATCAGGAGGTAGTGGACTTAGTGAATCTGGGAGATGAAGAAAATAAGAAAGAGGTTAGAATGGGCACTTCACTTCCATCTGGAGATAGGCGACGGTTGGCAGACCTACTTCAAGAATTTATAGATATATTCGCTTGGTCTTACCAGGATATGCCAGGACTGAGCACAGAGATAGTGGAGCACAGATTGCCCCTAAAGTCAGAATGTAAGCCCGTTCAGCAGAAACTGAGACGGATGAAGCCCGAAATGCTGCTAAAGATTAAAGAGGAGGTGAAGAAACAATTTGATGCAGGTTTTCTGCAAGTGGCCAAGTATCCAGAATGGGTAGCCAATATAGTCCCAGTTCCTAAGAAAGATGGAAAAGTACGAATGTGTGTAGACTATCGGGATTTGAATAAGGCTAGCCCAAAGGATAACTTTCCTTTACCTCATATCGACACACTGGTAGATAACACAGCTAAGCATTCGATTTTCTCCTTTATGGATGGTTTCTCGGGGTATAATCAGATAAAAATGGCTGCAGATGATATGGAAAAGACTACTTTTGTGATCATGTGGGGAACTTTCTGCTACAAAGTCATGCCTTTTGGGTTAAAGAATGCTGGGGCAACATATCAAAGGGCTATGGTAACACTCTTTCATGACATGATGCATAAAGAGATTGAGGTGTATGTAGACGATATGATTGCAAAGTCTTGTGAGGGTGAAGATCATGTTACTAGCCTCAGAAAGTTATTTGAGAGGTTAAGGAAATTTCAGCTCAAATTAAACCCAGCCAAGTGCACCTTTGGGGTAAGGTCAGGGAAGTTGCTAGGCTTTGTGGTCAGTGAAAGAGGAATCGAAGTCGATCCCGATAAGATACGGGCCATCCAAAATATGTCACCTCCTAGCACGCCAAAAGAAGTTCGAGGATTTCTGGGGAGATTGAACTATATTTCTCGGTTTATCTCTCAGCTTACTTACAAATGTGATCCCATATTTAAGCTTCTCCGTAAGAATAATCCTGGGAAATGGAACGAAGAATGTCAAGAGGCATTTGATAAAATTAAGCAGTATTTATCGAACCCTCCAATATTGGTGCCACCTGTTCCAGGAAGACCTTTAATTCTGTACCTAACTGTAAATGAAAATTCAATGGGATGTGTGCTGGGGCAGCAAGATGAAGCTAGCCGAAAGGAGAGAGCTACTTACTATCTGAGTAAAAAGTTCACGGAATATGAATCCAAGTATTCTTCATTGGAGAAAATGTGTTGTGCATTAGCGTGGACTGCCAAAAGACTCAGACAGTATATGCTTTATCACACTACGTGGCTCATAGCAAAATTGGATCCAATTAAGTATATCTTCGAGAAGCCTTCTTTGTCAGGAAGAATCGCTAGATGGCAAGTAATGCTCTCAGAATATGACATTATATATGTGAGCCAAAAAGCAATAAAAGGAGGCGCTATAGCAGAATTTCTTGCAGATCGTGCTACTGAAGAGTATGAGCCGATGAAGCTGGAATTCCCTGACGAAGACTTAATGACTATTTCCCGACTGGAGGAAAGGGAGCATATGGAAAGATGTTGGAGAATGTACTTTGATGGAGCTGCTAACGCCTTGGGGCATGGAATTGGGGCAATTTTTGATTTCTCCAGAAGAACAATACTATCCTGTAACAGCGAGGTTAAATTTTAATTGCACAAATAACATCGCTGAGTATGAGGCATGTGTCATGGGCCTGCAAGCTGCTATAGAAAGAAGAGTGAAAGTACTGAAAGTATTTGGAGACTCAGCTCTAGTCATTATACCAGTTGAAAGGAGAATGGGAGACGAGAGATTCAAAACTCGTTCCGTATCATAAGTATATTCTAGAGCTGACAAAACAATTTGAAGATGTCCAGTTTGATCACTTACCCCGGGAAGAGAATGTGATTGCTGATGCATTGGCTACTCTGGCTGCGATGATTCGAATTAATCATAATACGGACATTCAGCCCATCAAGTTAGATGTTAAGAATATACCAGCGTATTGTTCTAATGTAGAGGGGGAAGGAGATGGAAAACCCTGGTATTATGACATCTTACAGTATGTCAAGGATCAGCAGTATCCAGTTCATGCAACAGAAAATGATAAAAGGGTCATCCGAAGATTGGCTATGAGCTTTTTCCTGGATGGGGATGTCCTGTACAAAAGAAGTAAAGATCAAGTATTATTGAGGTGTGTAGATGAGACTGAAGCGAAGAAAATCATTAAAGAGGTGCATGAGGAATATGTGGGGCACATGCTAGTGGACATATGATGGCAAGACAGATCATGAGAGCGGGATATTACTGGTTGACGATGGAGAATGATTGCATCGACTATGCTCGTAAATGTCATAAATGCCAGATATATGCTGATAAGATCCTTGCTCCACCATCTGCTTTACATGTTATGGCACCACCATGGCCATTTTCAATGTGGGGCATGGATGTCATTGGTCCAATCACTCCAAAAGCTTCTAACCGGCACAGATTCATTTTTGTGATGATAGATTACTTCACAAAATGGGTGGAAGCAGCATCATATGCAAATGTGACACGCTCCGTGGTTTGCAAGTTCATAAAGAAAGAGATCATTTGTAGATATGGACTTCCGGAGAGAATTATTTCAGACAATGCCAAGAATCTAAATAGTAAGATGATGCAAGAAATATGTGCTCAATACAAGATCAAGCATCATAACTCGGCACCTTATCGTCCGAAAATGAATGGGGCAGTTGAGGCAGCCAATAAGAACATAAAGAGGATTCTGGAGAAGATGACCGAGACTTACAAAGATTGGCATGAGAAGTTGCCATTTGCCTTGCTTGCATATCGAACGTCAGTTCGCACCTCTACTGGGGCAACCCCATTTTCTTTGGTTTATGGGATGGAAGCTGTACTACCAGTGGAAGTAGAGATCCCCTCTTTGAGAGTCTTAAAAGAAGTTGAGTTGGAAGAGGCTGAATGGATTCGAGAACGTTATGAGCAGTTAAATTTCATAGAAGAAAAGAGATTGACTGCGTTGTGCCATGGTCAGCTATATCAAAGAAGAATGATGAGGGCTCATGATAAGAAGATTCGGCCCCGTTGCTTTCGAGAAGGAGAGTTGGTTTTGAAAAGAATTCTCCCAATCCAGCACGATGGTAGAGGAAAATGGACTCCGAATTGGGAAGGGCCGTATGTGGTAAAACGGGCTTTTTCGGGTGGAGCATTGATACTGACTGAGATGGATGGAAATGATTTACCCCATCCTGTAAATTCTGATGCTGTGAAGAAATACTATGCTTGAAAAAAAATAAAAAAATAAAAATGAGAAAAAATGAAAAAAATGGAAAAATGAAAAAATGAAAAATGATGAAAAAATGAAAAAATGGAAAAAAGAAAAAGTGAATGAAAAAGGAGGACTCAAGGCGAAAACCCAAAAAGGGCGGTTTGAGTCATAGGGGGTTTGTCTAAGTTGAAAACCTGAAAAGGCAGCTTAGATAAGGAGGATACAGCATCGAATTTAAAAGTCTGCTGATATGGGGGCCAACAAGTTCGGAAGAGTTCCAAGTTGTTAAATACATCAGAGGGTCGGGTTTTCAGAAAAGACTTTGAGATGTGTTATCATGATTATCTGATTGTTCATTTTGGGCTTTGTCCCCATACCTATCCTTGTACTTCTTTCTTGACCAAAGTTTGCCAACATTTTGCTAATAAGAGACATTCTATTCCATTCTTTGTGTCTTTTTTTTCTTATGACTGTTTCTCAACATTCAGATTCTTTTCTTCTTAATACCCCACCATTGAAGAAATGTGCAAATGCATTCTTACTTTTTGAATTTGAAATAATGATTGATGAATGAATAACAACAGGAAAGATTTTTACATTACATTGAATGAGTCAAGAGTGAAAAAGGCAGAATCGACATGTTCAGTTCCTAATTAGGAAATTGAATCTAGGAAGAGATTTCTTACAAGAAGAATGTGAGTGAAAGAGACAATTGAGAGCTACACTGGTTCGATCTTAGAAGAGCAGTGCAATTGGATCCTTGATGAATCCAAGGGCTTGACACCCAAGAAAAAAAGAGCTTGACAAACTTGAGTACCATACATTGAATAGGAATTAATTGGTCAACATTTGCATAACATGCATTGAAATTCATGCATTTGCACAGCATACACTACTTTCAGGAGAATATAGTGTATAAACTCAAGAAGCAGGGGTGTTCCAACATCCCATATGGAGAAGACAAATATGAAGATATTTTGCAAAACTGAAAAAGAGAAAGCCTGTCAGGTAAGTTCCTAATCCTTGAAATAGGATGTCTTTTGGTATCAGGGTTGATTTATAAGACCTTTGGGCATAATCACCTGAAATCCCTTCAAACACAACTTTCAACTCCTTTGGACATGGTTGTCAAGGAGCAATTTACTTTCTCAAAGTTCCGTTGCCTCTGTTTAGAGGAGCAATTTACTTTCCAAAGTCCGTGGCCTCTGTTGAGAGGAGCAATTTATCTTTCCAAAGTCGTGGTGCCTCTGTTGAGAGGAGCAATTTATCTTTCTAAAGTCGTGGTGCCTCTGTTGAGAGGAGCAATTTACTTTTCTAAAGTCGTGGTGCCTCTGTTGAGAGGAGCAATTTATCTTTCCAAAGTCGTGGTGCCTCTGTTGAGAGGAGCATTTTACTTTTCAAAGTCGTGGTGCCTCTGTTTAGAGGAGCAATTTATTTTTCAAAGTCGTAGAGCCTCTGTCAAGAGGAGCTAAAAAAAAAAAAAAAAAAAAACAAAAAAACAAAAAAATGAAAATGTCGAGTCGGGTCTTGACTGGGTGTCTACGTCTTTGCGCAATTTCTGTTTCACAGAGAATACGCAAAGAGGGGCAGCTGTAGACACCCAATCAGGTCCGGGCCCGGATCAATTGGGCCTGACCCAGATCATTTGGGCCTGGCCCAAATGGGCAAGGCCCAATTGAATTTTTACCCCGTATTTTTTATTTTTATTTATTTATATATTTTTTTTTCCTCTTGTGTATTTTATTATTTATTATTATTATGTATTAATATATGTATATATATATTCTTTTTTTTTCCATTAGAATAGATTTATATGTATATAGTTATATATTTATTATTATTATATTATTATTCTTATCTTTTTTTAATTATCTGTTCTGATTTTTTCTGAGTTTCAGATATTATTTGAAATTTTTTTTTATCTTTTGATTTATCTTTCCAATTATCTAGATTTTTTTTTTAATTTTATTTTAATTTTTATTTTGGAGGGCTAGGATTCAAAGTTGAAGACTCCCACTCTGGAGGGGAATTCAATCAGAAGAGTCCAATTGGATTCAAAGACTGAATTCCCGTCCAAAGAGGAATTGGGATTGATCAGAAACTCCTGATCAATCCCTATAAAAGGGACCCCCCTGGAACAGTCAAAAACACACAGAAAACAGAAGCAAAAGCTACTGATTGAGAGAATAGGGGTGTTTAGAGAGCTAAGGAAAAGTTTAGGAGTGTTCTGGCAGTGAGAAAAATTTTTTAGAAAAATTTGGCGAAAAAATTTTCTGGAAATTTCTGGGAAATTTCCAGATTCCGGCGGAAATTCCGGCGACTTTTGAATTTTCCGGCGACAATTCCGGCGAACTTTGAAGTTTCCGGCTACAGACCCAGTTTCCGGCGGAGAATCCCAGAAACCGGCGACCATCCGGCCAACTTCCGGCCAATTTCCGGCGAAATTCCCAGATTCCGGCGAAATTTCCAGAATCCGGCACCGGCGTTCTTCAAATTCTAGAGAGAAGGCAGAGAAGAAGGGAAGAAGAGAGAGAGAGGGGAGGAACGGTCTGCTGAAAAACGGAGGAAGGTGCCTTTTATACCCTCCCAAAACGACGTCGTTTTGGCTTTAAGTTAATAAGAGGATCCGCGCGTTTTGCCGAACCCGACCCGACCCGAAGCGTCGACCCGCTTTCTGACCCGCGCGTTTCAGCCCCTCCGAGCCGAGCCGAGCCGAGCCGAGCCGAGCCAAGCCGAGTCGCGATCCGAGCCGCTCCAGGTTTTTTTTTTTTTTTTTTTTTTTTTGAATTTTTTTTATTTGACTTTGATTTTGATCTTGATTTTTTTTTCTTTTTTCTTTAATTAATCCGACGACGGAGCCTCTACAAGTAAAAACAGTAGTTTTTCTTGCATACTCCTGAGGTGAGGGAATTTTCTCAATTTTCTGCTAAAAGTATTAGAGTCAATTGAGAATAATTTCCGATAATTAATTACTTGGCTGATTTTGATTTTTTTTTCTTTAATTAATCCGACGACGGAGCCTCTGCAAGTGAAACAGTAGTTTTTCTTGCATACTCTTGAGGTGAGGAAATTTTCTCAATTTTCTGCTAAAAGTATTAGAGTTAATTGAGAATAATTTCCAATAATTAATTGGATGATTTTGATTTTTCTTTAATTAATCCGACGACGGAGCCTCTGCAGGTGAAACAGTAGTTTTTCTTGCATACTCTTGAGGTGAGGGAATTTTCTCAATTTTCTGCTAAAAGTATTAGAGTTAATTGAGAATAATTTCCAATAATTAATTGGATGATTTCGTTTTTTCTTTAATAAATCCGACGACGGAGCCCCTGCAAGTGAAACAGTAGTTTTTCTTGCATACTCTTGAGGTGAGGGAATTTTCTCAATTTTCTGCTAAAAGTATTAGAGTCAATTGAGAATAATTTTCAACAACTAACTACTTGGTAAAATTTTAAGGCTTTTGGATAACACAAATTCAAGCTGGTACCATCTTTTGATGGGCGTTGTGAGGGTGCTATAACCTTCCTCACACGTAACCGAACTCCCGAACCCTGTTCTGGTTTGTAGACCTGAACCTATTCTTTTAGGGACCCTTAAGCTTAGGTGTTCCTTGAAAGGACAGATTCCTTAGGTGGCCAATCACACCTGGATAAAAAAAGATTGGTGGCGACTCCCTAAAGTCAATGTCCGGCGATAGATCCCCGGATCTATACGTTATGACAGCTATGAATGCAAAATCTCGTAAAATAGAAGATCATGTAGTTAATCTAAAAAATTTGTTTGATAGATTGAAAAGATTTCAGCTAAAGTTAAATCCTACCAAGTGTATATTTGATGCTAAATCAGGAAAACTATTGGGTTTTGTGGTCAGTGAAAGAGGAATCAAAGTTAATCCAAATAAGATACAAGCGATTTAGAACTTATCCCTTCCTTGTACCTTAAAAAAGGTGAGAGGCTTTATAGGAAGATTGAATTATATTACTTGCTTCATCTTTTAAGTCTTTACAAGTGCGATCCCATTTTCAAGCTTCTTAGAAAGCATGATTTAGGAGAATGGAATGATGAATGCCAAGAAACTTTTGACAAAATCAAAGAATACTTATCAAATCTGCCCATGTTGGTGTCGCTCATTCTAGGAAAACCTTTTCTTTTATACTTAACAGTGCACTAATTCAATGGGATGTGCGTTGGGGCAAAGAGATGAAACCAACAAGAAAGAACGAGCAATCTACTACTTGAGCAAAAAATTCACTAATTATGAGTCCAAGTATTCATCATTAGAGAAGATATGTTGTGCATTAGCCTAGACAGCTCGAAAGCTTAAACAATACATACTTTATCACACTACTTGGCTTATAGCAAAGTTAGATCGTATTAAGTATATCTTTAAAAAGCCCGTATTGATAGAAAGAATAACACAGTGGCAAGTTATGCTTTTGGAATATGATATTGTTTATGTAACTCAAAAGGCTATTAAAGGGAGTGTAATAGTAAAGTTTTTTGCTAATCATACAGTCGAAGATTATGAACCAATGAAACTAGATTTTCTTGATGAAGATGTGATAGTCATTAAAGAGAACAAACCTATTAGAAAGTCTTAAAAAATGTATTTTGATGGAGCTGCTAACGCTTTAGGTCATGGTATTGGGGCAATTTTGTTATCTCCTTATAGGCACTATTATCCCATCACAGCTAGGTTAAATTTCAATTGCACAAACAATGTGGCCGAATACAAGACCTGTGTTATAGGTTTGCAAGCAGTAATTGAAAAAAAGATCAAAGCGTTGAATGTGTTTGAAGATTTAGCTTTCATTATTTATCAGTTACGAGGTGAATGGGAAACAAAAGATTTCAAGTTAATTTGGTACCATAAATACATCTCTAAGTTGGTCAAGCAATTTGAAAAAATTCAGTTTGAGTATCTGTCTAGAGAGAAAAACCAAATTGCTGATGCACTAGCCATTCTAGTTGCAATGATCAAAATAGATGCAAATACTGAGATCCAATCCATCATGCTGGATGTGAAGGAAGTACCAGCACATTACTTAGGTGTCGAAGAAAAAATTGATGGGAAACCATGGTATCATGACATTATGCAATATATTAAGGATTAGCAATACCCAGAGTATGCAACAAAAATGATAAAAGGACTATCAAGAGGTTGGCTATGAATTTCTTTCTTGATGGAGACATCCTCTATAAAAATGGTAGAGATTAAGTGCTCTTAAGGTGTGTGATCGCAGCTGAATTAAAAAAGATTATTGAAGAAATACATGACGAAGTCTATGGGGCACATGTAAACGATCATATGATGGTTAGACAAATCATGAGAGCTAGCTATTATTAGCTGATAATGAAGGGTGACTGTATTGATTATGCTAGAAGATGCCATAAGTGTCAGATTTATGCTGACAAAATCCCTGCTCTACCATCAGCATTACATGTCTTGGCTCTTCCATCGCCATTCTTTATGTAAAGCACAAATGTCATCAGTCTTGTCACTTCAAAAGCTTCGAATGGACATAAATTCATCTTTATGATGATTGATTACTTCACAAAGTGGGTAAAAACTGTATCATATGCTAGTGTGACTTGATCCGTGGTATGCAAATTCATAAAAATGGAGATAATATGCAGATATGGGCTTCTAGAAACAATTATTTTTGATAATGCCAAGAACTTGAATAGCAAAATGATAAATGAAGTGTGCACTTAGTCCAAGATTCGTCATTGTAATTTTACACCATATCATCTAAAAATGAATGGGACAGTAGAAGCTACAAATAAGAATATCAAAAAAATCTGGAAAGAATTACTGAAACTAAAAAAGATTGGCACGAAAAGTTACCTTTTGCCTTGCATGCTTATAGAACATCAGTCTGAACATCTATTGGAGCCACCTTTTCTTCTTTGGTTTATGAAATAGAAGTTGTGTTGCCAATCGAAGTAAAAATTTTCTCATTGAGAGTTCTAATGAAAGTAGAGCTAGAGGAAGCAAAATAAGTTTGAAATCACTACAAGTAGTTGAATCTCATTGAAGAAAAAAGACTCACAGCACTTTGCCATTGTCAATTGTATTAGACAAGAATGATGAGAGCATATGATAATAAAATTTGCCCTCATTGCTTTCAAGAAGGAGACTTAGTGCAAAAAAGGATCTTTCCAAATCAACATGATAATCGAGGAAAATAGACACCAAATTGGGAGGGCCTGTACGTGGTGAAAAAGGCTTTTTCTAGTAGGCAATGATTTTAGTAAAAATGGACAGAAGTGATTTACTAACTTCGATAAATTCAGATACTGTAAAAAAATATTTTGCATAAAAAAAAGAAAAAGAAAAGGTTAAAAAAATGACATATCTAAGCTAAAAACCTATAAAAGACAGTTTAGACACGGAGGAAAAGCATTATCAAGAAAAGATCTTACAACACAAGGGCAAGTGTAATTTGAAAGGCTTTGAAGAATCAAGGAAGTCGTCTAATTCAGTTTTAGAAAAAAAACCTGAGAATATTTTGTTCATGATTATCTGTTAATCATTACTTAGGTACTTTTGTTCCTACCCGAACACTTTTGTTGCTATGTACTTATTATCAGTTTAACGAAATATGTTTCTTTTCTTCATAAATAACACCTATCCATTCTTTTATCTCATTTGATATCTTTGTTCACCTTACAAATGAATAGGAGAAGTGTGTGATCGCATTTTATTTGACTTGAACTTAAAATGATGAAAAAACAAACACGAAAAATCTTAGTATTACTTTTTAAAAATTGATAAAGGTAGATGAAAAAGGATGAGAAAAGCATGTTGTAGATTTTTGGAAAAGAAAAATGTTGTTAAGGAAGAATACAATGGTCAGACGATAAAAACAGATTGGTTATATGGCGATTATTGGGAATTTTGATAAAAAAAAGCAAAAGGCGAGAATCTTCGAGAGCCTTTTTACCACAATTAAAATGAATAATTTTGATTGCATTACACGCATTGCATTTAGAGCATTCAATATGTGCATTTATGAACAGTTATAACAAAGACAAGGATTTTTCATTTCTTGGTAAAACTAAAATTGTGGTATTTGAGTAAAGGTAATAATCAAACAAGAGATTTCTGTCGTAACGTCTAGATCCGGGGATCTATCGCTAGACATTGACTTTTAGGGAGTCGCCACCAATCTTTTTTATCTAGGTGTGATTGGCCACTTAAGGAATCTGTCGTTTCAGGGAACACCTAAGCTTAAGGGTCCCTAAAAGAATAGGTTCAGGTCTACTAACCAGAACAGGGTTCGGGAGTTCGGTTACGTGTGAGGAAGGTTATAGCACCCTCACAACGCCCATCAAAAGATGGTACCAGCTTAAATTTGTGTTATCCAAAAGCTTTAAAATTTTACCAAGTAATTAGTTATTGGAAATTATTCTCAATTGACTCTAATACTTTTAGCAGAAAATTGAGAAAATTCCCTCACCTCAGGAGTATGCAAGAAAACTACTGTTTCACTTACAGAGGCTCCGTCGTCGGATTATTTAAAGAAAAAAACAAAATCAAAATTAAGATAGAAAGGAAGGAAAGAATGATTTTTTTTTGTAGGGAAAATTGATACTTTCAACTTTTCCCTAAAAATATTTTTTTGAAAATTTCGATTTTCAAGGAAAATTGATACTTTCAACTTTTCCTCAAAAACCCTTTTTTTGAAAATTTATTTCTAAGGAAAATTGATACTTTCAACTTTTTCCTAAAAATATTTTTTTTCGAAATTTATTTCTGAGGAAAATTGATACTTTCAACTTTTCCCCAAAAATATTTTTTTTTTGAAATTTATTTCTGAGGAAAATTGATACTTTCAACTTTTCCCTAAAAATATATTTTTTTTTTGGAATTTTTTATTTTTATTTAAAGAAAATAAAATAATAAAAAATAAATAAAAAGAATATTACATAAACCTAATCTAATAAATAAAAATTAAAATAAACAAAGAAATAAATAAAATAAAAAAATTCAAAGAAAAAAAAAAAAAAAAAAACCTGGAGCGGCTCGGATCGCGGCTCGGCTCGGCTCGGCTCAAGGCAGGAAAACGGCTCGGGGGAGCGGCTTGGCGGCTTGGCTCGGCTCGGCTCGACTCGGAGGGGGCTGGCACGCGCGGGTCAGAAAGCGGGTCGACGCCCGGGTCGGGTCGGGTTGCGGCAAAACGCGCGGATCCTCTGGGTTACTTAAGGCCAAAACGACGTCGTTTTGGGAGGGTATAAAAGGCACCTTCCTCCGTTTTTCGGCAGAACGCTCCTCCCCCTCTCTCTCTCTTCTTCCTTTTTCTCTCCCTTCTCTCTAGAAACCGAAGAACACCGGTGCCGGATTCTGGAAATTTTCGCCGGAATCTGGAAATTTCACCAGAAGTTGGCCGAAAAGTAGCCGGTTTCTGGGATTATTCGCCGGAAACTGGGCAGGTCACCGAAAACTTCAATGTTGGCCGGAATTTTCACCGAAAAATTCAAACTTCGCCGGAATTTTCGCCGGAATCTGGAAATTTCCCAGAAATTTCCAGAAAAAATTTTGGCCAAAAATTTCTAAAAATTTTTTTCTCACTCCCAGAACACTCCTAAACTTTTCCTAGCTTCCTATACGCCTCCTTTTCTCTTAAATCAGTAGCTTTGCTTACCGTTTTCTGTGTGTTTCTGAACTGTTCCAGGAGGTGCTTTATATAGGGATTGATCAGGAGTTTCTGATCAATCCCAATTCCTCCTTGGACGGGAATTCAATCTTTGAATCCCACTGGACTCTTCTGATTGAATTCCCACTTCCAATGGGATTCTTCAGCCTTCAATCTCAGCCCTCCAAAATCAAAATAAAAAAAAAACTAGATAATTAGAAAAGAAAATCAAAAATTAAAAATTAAAAATAATATCAGATAATTCGGGAAAAAGAAGATAGAATTAACAGATGATTAAAAAAAAATAATAACAAATAAAATAAGATAAACCCAAAAATATATTACACAAAAAAAATAATAATAATATATAACTGTATAAATAAAATACATATAAATCTAATCTGAATAAAAATAAATAAATAAATAAAGATATACATAATAATAATAATAATAATAATAGAATACATAAAATACAAAAGAAGAAAAAAAATATACAGGATTGAAATGGGCCTTACCCATTTGGGTCAGGCCCAATTGATCTGGGCCCGGACCCAATTGGGTGTCTACAGCTGCCCCTCTTTGCATATTTTCTGTGAAACAGAAATTGCGCAAAGACGTAGACACCCAATCAAGACTCAACTCAACATTTTTATTTTTGATTTTTTATTTTTGATTTTTTTTGATTTTTTTGATTTTTTTGATTTTTTTGTTTTTGTTTTTTTGTTTTTTTTTGTTTTTTTTTTGGCCGAAGCTCCTCTAAACAGAGACTCAACTACTTTTGAAAATAAATTGCTCCTCTCAACAGAGGCACCACGACTTTGAAAAGTAAATTGCTCCTCTCAACAGAGGCACCACGACTTTGGAAAAATAAATTGCTCCTCTCAACAGAGGCACCACGACTTTGAAAAGTAAATTGCTCCTCTAAACAGAGGCAACGAACTTTGAAAAATAAATTGCTCCTCTCAACAGAGGCACCACGACTTTGAAAAGTAAATTGCTCCTCTAAACAGAGGCAACGAACTTTGAAAAATAAATTGCTCCTCTCAACAGAGGCACCACGACTTTGAAAAGTAAATTGCTCCTCTAAACAGAGGCAACGAACTTTGAAAAGTAAATTGCTCCTCTAAACAGAGGCAACGAACTTTGAAAAGTAAATTGCTCCTCTAAACAGAGGTACCACGACTTTGAAAAGTAAATTGCTCCTCTAAACAGAGGCAACGAACTTTGAAAAGTAAATTGCTCCTCTAAACAGAGGTACCACGACTTTGGAAAAGTAAATTGCTCCTCTAAACAGAGGTACCACGACTTTGGAAAGTAAATTGCTCCTCTAAACAGAGGCACCACGACTTTGAAAAGTAAATTGCTCCTCTAAACAGAGGTACCACGACTTTGGGAAAAGTAAATTGCTCCTCTAAACAGAGGCACCACGACTTTGAAAAGTAAATTGCTCCTCTCAACAGAGGTATCACGACTTT